CTCCACAATCTACCTCCTTTATTTATTTTCAAAGTACTCAAATAGTTGTTTTGAATCTAGAGATTTTAGTTGTAATTAGCAGGAAGGATGAACTGTAGTCAGGTTTTCACTTCCCTATTGTCACTGTAACTCCTTAGGTTTTTGTTTTTGAAGTTAATCCTGTATTTTTCTGCTCCATTACAATTCAGTAGAAAATAATTAGGCAAAATTACTGAAAGATTGGAAGTTCAGTAGTATTCCAAGTAGATGTTTATGATTTTGCAAAGGAGGAATGAATAGCGCATAGAGGTCTGTGACTTCATTCAGTTAGTGAAACAAAATATTGATAGTATACCTACTATGTGCCATGTGTGGAAGTGTAAAATAATTTCAGAGTTTACCTTACAACCTAGTGGGCATTATACTTACTTCAATGAATAAAGATCAATAAATAATGATAATATGCATATTATTTGCAAAAGAAAGGAGTTATTTCTCAAGGGTTGAAATACCATTTTTATTTAATTAACGTATAAGAAGAGTACCTTTAAAATAATGAACAATATCACAGACACAATGCAATTTAATTTTGAATCCATCTTCAAATCAATATAATTTTAATAACTAAATTAATGGTATTTTACTATAGTTTATTAATTATTTGCTTTTCAATAAGTTTTTAAATTTTATTTAAGAAAAGTACTTTAATTAAATACATGATTTCTTTTTTAGCATTTTCCTTAGGGTTGCCGATGTGCTTTTCTAAACTCTTTTAATTAAATCACAGATACTACCAGAGCAAGAAGAAGCCAGGAGAGTGATGGTGTTGAATATATTTTCATTTCCAAACATTTGTTTGAGACAGATGTACAAAATAACAAGTAAGTGTAAGTTTTTCAGACTTTTGTGTGACTTGTTTTTAAGTATGTGCCTATATATCCAGTTTTATACAACTGAGGGTTCCCTTCCATTTGAAATGTATTTTAATTTTCATATTTGAAATCAATAAAAAGGTGATAATTCAGCTAGTAGTTATTATCAATTTTCACCTATAATTTTTAATAACCTAGAGCTGCTGTGTTTCTGGTATGTTAAACATGTAGGAATTATTTTGAAGACTGAAGGAAGGTTGCTAGTGTCTTATTGTGACCTCTTTCCACTCCACTCATTGAATCTTAACATATAATTTGGATAGGATTTTATTTTAAAACCTAACAGCTATGTAATAGATCTCTAGTTCCATAGTTTCCTCCATACACACCTCCCTTTCTCATTAGCTTTTCACAAAATTGAAATAATGCTAATCATCTTGTTTGCATCATATCCTCTAGCTAGCCCTAAGTCCCCTATCCCCAGATCTGCCATTTGCTTAAGCATGAATATTTTAGGGTGTCAGGGAGCAATGTGTGTTTTAATGCAGGATTGTGGGATTTTATTGAAACATCAAAATGCTTTTTTCGTGTTTGGCACAGCAATTATGTTTTTATAGCACATAATCAGCTGCCCTGGTTCCATTAAGCCACCAACTAGTTCCTCCTCTAGTTCTAAAGCTGAGCTTGGATATTCTGTCGTGTGCAGTGAAATTTCAGTAGTTTCTATTGTTTGGCTTATTCACTGTTTTATTGCATTACATTAGTTCTGAAAAAGAGGTGATGGAAAACATTAGAGTACTGCTGGACTAAAGTACTTTTTTCTGCTTAAGTGTAACACAAGCAAGTGTTACTGATTTGAAAATGTAAAATAAAAGATTTTTTTTAAATTGACATTCTGGAGCACTTGGCCCTATTTATTTTATTAAACACAGTAAAAAAATGTCATGTTCAGCAAAAGCATTTTATATATATGAATTATGTCTTGCCACTTATATATGTATTTAATTCATAAATGATTCTGAGGCGTGTCTAATTTTCCACAGGTTTATTGAATATGGTGAATATAAAAACAACTACTACGGCACAAGTATAGACTCAGTTCGGTCTGTCCTAGCTAAAAACAAAGTTTGCTTGTTGGATGTTCAGCCTCATGTAAGTAAACAATGAACTATTCAACACCCTCAGGCCCATGTAATCTCCTGCACTTCNAGGCATAGCATGGCTGAATTAATAAAAAATAAAAAACCTGTACATAATGCTGTCTACAAGAGACCCACTTCAGATCGAAAGACACACTCAGACTGAAAGGGATGGAAAAAGACATTTCATGCAACTGAAAATGAAAAAAAAAGCTGGTTTAGTAATACGATATGTATATCTTACAAAATAGACTTGAAAACAAAGACTGTAACAATAGACAAAAAAGGATGTATCATAAAGCGATCAACCCAACAAGATGATATAACTCTTGTAAATGTTTACAAAGCCAACATAGGAGAACCTAAATATGTAAAGCAAATATTGATGGGTATAAAGAGAGAGATCAACAGTAATACAGTAATAATAGGGGACTTTAACAACATGTTGACATCAGTGGATAGATCATCCACACAGAAAATCAAGGAAATGGTGGCCTGAAAATGACACATTAGACCAGATGGATTTATTGATATGTTTAGGTCATTTTGCCCAAAAGCAACAGAATATAAATTCTTTTCAAGTGCACATGGAACATTTTCCTGGATAGACCATATGTCAGGCCATAAAACAAGTCTCAATAAAATTAAGAAGACTAAAGTCATATCAAACATCTTAAATCACAATGTTACAAAACTAGAAATCAATCACAAGAAGAAAACTGAAAAACACATAGACCCATGGAGGCTAAATAACATGCTACTAAACAATGAATGGTTAACAATGATATCAAGGAAAAAATCAAAAGACACTGTGACACAAGTGAAAATGGAAACAGAGTGACCCCAAATCTATGGGACACAGCCAACCCAGTTCTAAGAGGGAGATTAATAGCAAGACAGGCCTACTTCAAGAAAAAAGAAAAATTTTAAACAATCTAACTTTACACGTAAAGGAACTAGAATAAGAAGAACAAACAAGCCTAAAGTGAGTGGAAGAAAGGAAATAATA